GGCCCAGAGTTCAGGCCCCACGACCGGACCAAAAATAAATAATATATATCACTAAAATACACATTCAAATTAATAATCGTCTTAAAACATGGGCATTTGGAGACATAATACAAAGAAGAAAAAAATATTTATTATTGAGATGCTAAAGTTTTTCAGAAACTGTCTCATTCATATACAAATCTCAGAATCTCCAGTGCTAATGAAGGAAAAAATTAGTAGAAAGGCAGAAAGTTCTGCCTGGATAGTGGGACTGTCAGTCCCAAGACTTCTATTCTAGCCCTTGAACATGCCATTCACTTAATTACTGCAACAAAAAAGTATGAAATCCTAGGCACTCTTAATAATAATAGAAGTAATAAAATGCAATAGTCCCCAGGGTACTTGAATTTGATGGGGATATAATAATAAACTATTAAGCCAAAAGTCAGCATATGAGTTAGCATCTTGAAATAAATAAGGAAGTAGGAATTGGATAGACTGTAAGTGCTCATGAGTCCCTCCCTCAAGGGTGGTTCTTTTCAATATCATGTGTTTATAGCAGTGTCTGAATGTGTGAACACATACATAGCACATAATCCACATAATTGAAATCATACCTCATAACTGACTCTAAAAACAGCAGATCACATTGGATTTCAAATAACATTGTGACAATCCTCTAATACACCTCACTAAATAATTAAAATGTCAATCTTGAAGAACATTTAGTATAAAATATAAAAGACTGTCTTATATTTTAATCCTAAATTGGTTTTTTGTTTTGTTTTGAACATATGTATGTAACTCAGGAATTCTCCATGCAATCACAGATTTTACTGTCAGGACTACTTGTGTCTTGGAATCTGAAAAACTGCAGATTCCTAGAATGGTCTCTTTTTTTCTCTGGAAACAGTGACAGCAAACATTCTACTTTTTACTCCCTGTTTTTCCAATATGACTCTTGAAATAATGTCTCATTATGACCTTTGGAAAAAAATGTCTAATTGTATCAGAAGCCCTGTTGATCACACAAAATAAAATTATGCTAGAAGATAAAACGTTCTCTCAAAATACTGAGGGGACAGAGAGAAATTGGAGAGTGTCAATGACTTAATACTTCTGAAGGCTATCATACTGGAAAGAGTAAAAGTATTGGCTCTCTAATTTAGTGAGAAATTTCAGTTAAATGGAGAACCCATTTTGGTTTACTCCTTATGCTATTCATGGGTACCAATATCAAGAAATTCCCTCATTAATGCAACATTCAATAGAAAGAAACAAGAAATGTCTATCATGTTCCAAAATTACTTTCTGATACTATTTTTATTATAAATGTCTGATTCCAATTTTTCTCAATTTATTTCTCCTTATGAAATGGGCTCTTTCCTAGGATACACTGGTTAAATCTAGAAAGCCCTTCCTGGCCATTCATATAAGTAACAATGATCAGGAAATAGAAGCAGATTGGGTGAGGCTAAGTTTCCTGGTACTTAAGTGATTCTTCCCTTTATTATAGATCTCCTACCAAACTAAGCACACTCGCAACCTTGCTAGAGATACAAGCATATATTAATTTTCTAATAGTCCTGATAGAGAACAGCAGTCATCATTTAAGTACCTGCAGAGTTTGGGGAAGAGACATCAGAAGGTACAACCTGATCTACTAATTCACGATGAAGGAGAGGTACCAGATGAAAGAATTCTGTATATGAACTTTAGCATTTAATTTCCAAAACTCTTTCAAATGTGAAGATTCACACACTGGTTTGTATTAGGTACATATACTCACCCAGGAGGAAAAAAAGGGAAAGTGTAATAAATCCTACTCCCTTATTTGCAATAACTAGTATATGTCTGAGTCAAGCAGAAAAGGTCAGATAAGTTGATGTTAGGGAAATGAACCCCAAGATATGTATTCAAATGTTTTTTTCTTTCATGCGATTATTTCTAACACCTTTATAAGATTATTTCTTTGTTGCTTTGTATGTCCCTCCCCCACAGTATAACCCCTGCTTTCACTGTATTTGATGTTGTTATAATTTGTGGAGGGGAAGGGAAAAAACAAATCGTTTAAATAGGGATACAGGTGGACCCATTGCAACAATGAGACTGACAAGTCGTTATGTCGAAAACGAACTTTACAACTTTGGTAGGGGGTGGGGCAGAGGAAGGGTAAACAAAGGAGGAGGCTACAATGCTTGATAAGAAATGTACTCATTATCTTGCCATGTAATTGTAACCCCTCTGTACAGTATTTTCACAATAAAAAATAAACAAAAATAAATAAATAAATCCTACTTCCTCCTTTTAACATACCATAATGCTTATGTTATGCAACATACATTCCTCCAGCTAACATTGAGTGGTATCAGTAATATTGCATTTCAGGGTCACTGTGAGGTCAGGCCAGAAGAAATTCTAGAAACCGTTCGCCAAACAGATGCTGGCTTCATTGCTACATCAAAGATTTATGCTGAGCACTGGTGGTGCCTGCCTATACTCCTAGCTACTCAAGAGGCTGAGATCTAAGAAACCTGGCTCAGGGGCTGCCGGAACTACCCAATCCAAGGGATTCTTATCTCCAAATAACCAGCTTCTTCAAGAACAGATAAGGCGCTGGTACATTAGGGATCTTTTCATCCTGAGGTCATGAGTTTCAACGCAGAGGAAATATTTTAGAGTCCAGCAAAGATATACACATATGCACAGGAAGGTCCAACTGTTGAGACTCTTTAGTTCAGATGTCAGAAAGACCTTTCCACCACAGACGAGGTTTAGAGACAGAGGCTCAGTTTGGCAGCCTGCTCCGACTATATCTTCCATGGCTGAGCAGCATCACGGCACGGGTGTGAACCCTGTGTTTCAGCCTTGGCTAAAACTTAAATTACTTCCATTTCTATTTGGGCTAACTAGAAATTCTGAAGACCTGCTGAGCACAGCTCCCTTCAGTGGGGCAAGTATTTTGTCTCGGCTTATTGTGCTTCTCCTCTCTGGTCTCCAGTTCCTAGTGATATGTGATGTTAATGTGTCTTTCAACAACTTTATTTTTGTTCACAATTGTCAAGTATTTCTTTGTTAAATGTAACAAAATTATGTTTTCTTCTTTCTTTTCACTGTATTCTACATTTTCTTTTCTTTCTTTTCACTGTATTCTTAAGTAGGGTCATCATTTTTAAACTAAGATTGTACAGAAAATATGTTTTGGAATCTGTTTGGGTTCAGTCCATAGGCACAAAAACGACAGACTGTAGAGGGAGAGGGAAAGGGAAAGGTGCGAGGTTAATGTGCCGCACACAGGCACAAGGTGTGTGCTCTTAAGCCTCCCACTCAGGAACTGTATGCTAGAATAATCGACCAATTAAAAAGCAAACACTCGGACTACATTACTTCTGATTCATTCTGGAATCAATTAAAAACGCTTCATTGTGCACCTGTTTTATAGCCAAGTCTGTAATTTGGTTTATCCAAGCAAGATCTAAATAAATCTAATAAGCAATAATCCAATCAGTCAAATTAGGAATCCTTTATGTAAGTTACAAGGTTCCAATTTCAAGAATTTTTCAGAATGTATATGTATGTATGTATATATATATATATATATATAATTACACATTAGATTTGATACACATAATAGATCTCTCAAACTAGCAATTGTTTTTAACCTACTATAAATATGGGGGGGCCCTTAGGTAATTCAAGTCCCTTGTCTAAATCATCTAAAGAGTTACTTTTCAAAAAGAAGACTTTCCAAGGCAGATGCTGGTGGCTCACACCCATAATCCTAGCTACTCGGGAAGCTGAGATCTGAATATTGTGGTTCAAAGCCCATCTAGGCAAGAAAGGTTGGGAGACTCTTATTTCCAACTCATCAGCAAAATCCTGGAAATGAAGCTGTGGCTCAAGTGGTAGAACACTAGCCTTGAGTACAAAAACTTAGGGACAATGGCTGGCAAATTGTAGCTAGAGCCTGGAATGAATGAATGATTAAATGAACAAATCAATAAATGAATAAATACATAAATAAAACTTCCATCTAGGTTTTCAGATTCAAATGATACTACTCTCCCAGGATGGCATATTAATCTAAGATAATGATAATATGTCATGTTTACGTGCTTAAAACTTAAAAATTCTATTAATTAGGTATATCTGTATTAGAACATATTTGCTAAAGTCTATCATTTTAAAAGCATATGCTAGAGAAAATCTGAAACAATAGGCACTTTAATAATAAATGAAAGCATAAAATTATGTAAAACCACATTAATAGGTGTCTAACAAATTCCTGTTTAGAATAACAGAATTTAAAGGGAGAGGGTAACACTGTTCAAAAAGAAACGTACTCAGTACCTGTAACCTGCACATCACCTTTACAATAAAAAAGTAAGTAGTTAAAAACACAATAGCTAAACAGAATATTAGGATCACCTAAAGACAAAGTGAATGCTGAGGTCTAGTTCTTCTTTCCCAGAAAGAATAACAAATTGTATTACAGATTTGTTATCAGTTACCAAACCCTTAGATGTCATGTTTGTAAGGAAAAGTGGGAGCTGCTGGAGAACAAGTAAAATTAATCGATAACAATGGAAATGCCCATATGGTTCCTCAAATAATTTGGAAAATGGCAGAAGGGTAGCTTTGGGGACGTTGGAAATGTTCTGTCTTGATCTAAGTAATGCCTAAATGACTGAGTATGTATGTAAACATTTACCAAACTGTTCTTAAGATTTGTGTAATTTATGTGAAATACGTCAAAAAAATTTGAAAAGAGAAATTATGGCTATAGATATAACATAGGAAAATAATGGTATGCAAAAGTTAGGCTGCTAGAAATGATGAAACAGAAAATGTTATTAACCTCATGAATAAATATGAAATGTTGCAGGTGAGAAATAAGTCTCAGTTAGAGCAATATAAAATTAGCTTTGAAGACAAATGAAGACTGTGTGAATCCATTGACACTAGGAGAGTATGTAAAAATGTTGTCAATTCCTATGGGCATTGCTCTCTGTTGAGAAGAAAGGAACAAAAGTCATCTAAATGAAAATTAGTCTGAAGATGAATGTCTCACTGTATTTAAATAACTAAAAATTAATAATACAAAAAATATGAAATACAAGTTTTAGTTACTAAATTTAAGAAAAAATCAAATATTGCAATTAATAGAAGCCAAAGACTATAGCACTAACTAGTTATTCCTAAAAAATTATAGTGCAAAGACCTTAAAAGTGTTTGTGCATGTGCCCATGTATGTGTGTGGTTGTGTGTGTCTATAATGCTCAATTTACTCATTATGTCTTTTGCAGAAAATGACAATGTTTTTAATGTTTAGTTTTTGGAATAATATAATTGAACTTATATGTTTTCTTCTTTGTGTTTATGTGGTGCTGAGGAATCGAACCCAGGGCCTCATGCATACTAGGCAAGCACTCTACCACTGAGCCACCTTCCCAGCCCCACTTTCTTTGTTTTATTACTAATTTTTTTCCAACACTATCTAAAAACCTATTGAGCGGATATCTCCAATTTGCCATGACAGCTTATGAAATCAAATGCAAGAAAATGACAGTCATGAACTCTGCCAGCTGCTCTAGATTCTTCCTGTGCCCCCAGCTGGGAAAGTGAGTGGCCAGCCAGCTTGGCTACCCCAGAAGCAGGTGCCCAGGAGCATGGCCTCCAGCCCTGTGGATTCTCACACACAAACAGAAACTGACTGTGGGTGAGTAGTGCGAGAAAAGTCACTTTGGCCAAGTGAAGGTCCTTGGCTCCATTGCCCAGCTACAAAGCTTCGAAGTTTGGAATACAGTAGACATGCACCTCTTGTACTCAAAAGCATTTAAAAATAAACAAGTGACCTTTAAAGTTTTTGTTTATTACAGCTCATTACTTAATCAAATAAAAATCCAAGAGCCTGGTTTTGTTTTACTCTTGAAATGAAATACGGCAGAACTTCTCACTTCTGTTCATTTGTTTTTAATAATACACCCTTTGATTTTCAATGATGTGATGGACTGGTACCAAAAAAGACACAGCCCAGCATTTACTGAAGGTAATGCAACTTACTACTTAATATCAACTTCGAGGAACATGTCTTGGCCTCTGACAATCATGCATGCAGCCATGCAAACATGCGTCCATGCAACATCGCAGGCAACACGGTGCAGAAATGGCAAAGAAAACCAAGTGAAGGCCATGCCAGTAGTTTTGTTTCAAGGGTCTCCTTACCAAATAGTGAAATCCTATGCCTGACAAGTACTCCAAGTTTGCAGAATAGGCTGAAGACAAAAGAAAAACAAAAGAGAGGGGAAGGGGGGAGGGAAGGTAGAAAAGACAAGGAGAAATTACAAAAGAAAAATTAACAAAAAGAAGAAGAAAAAAAAGAAAAACAGCTGATATATGAGCCAGAATAAAGCAACATGATGTCACGCAGAAAGAATCAATTCTCTGAGCAGAATGTGGATAAAGATATTAACAAAAAGAGTCTTTGAGTGCATATCTTTAACAAACATGGTTAAAAAAGCACATATTATAAGAAACCAAAAAAAAAATTGAAAGCAAAGCTAATTAATATAAAAGCAGTCTTATGAACCCATGGGAACAGAACTACTGAAATACCACAAGGGAAAAACTTAATCTTAGGAACCATTGGATATCTAAATTTTTTAAATTTTATCAGCATTATTTAACAATGTATGCTTTTTATTATAGGATCTCCTTTTTCTGCCCAACCTTGACAGCATTTTTTTTTATGCATAGAGCAAAACCCAGTGAATTCAGAATCTGTAAAGTAACAGGAGTTTGAATAACTGGCAATTATTCAGGAAATCACACCTGTGACACCTGTAGCAGAATGAGTTAGAGCTATTTCTCACATTCTCTAGAGCAAGTTCCTGCGTAGGTTCATGTGGCAATTAGCAAGCTGAAATTCCATCACTGCCCTGAAAGCTGCTACCTCCCCTGATAAGACCCCTGGGCCTTGGAGAGCCCCAGCTTTCCCCCTGCCAAGCTAGGTAGGTAAATCCTGCTCAGGAGTCCATTGCTATTCTACCAACTTCCCACTCCATGGGGCCTGCCCCAGGATATGCTGAGGCCACAAGATGTCTTTCCTATGGTACAGTGCTCAAAAGGAAAATAGACCCCTTTCCACATCATTCAGATCCACCCCGGAGCGCCACCTCCCGAGTTCCACCTCACGTTGCTTCTACATCTACCCCCCCCTCCCGCTCTTGGAGAGCCATGGCTGGTACTAGCAAGCACAGCCTACAACTCTGACCTTCTGTCTGTGAAGCTGTGCCCACACTGGACCTGATCTTCCTCAGAATGAGGGGAGCTAGCACATTACTGCTCCCACTCTCTTTGAAAGCGCTCCTTCCAGGCACTAGGTTTGCACCAATACCCACAGAATCTGAGTTGGGGACACAGCAGCCATTCTGTAACATAAAGGCTATAGAAAAGGGACAGAGGGTCACACCTGATGACCTCTCTTCCAGTAAGTTCTGGCCATCGGAGCTCACTTCAGTATCAAGGAGGATTAATGAGTTGGTGAAAGTTAATAACACAGGGCATTTTGTAGCTTTTCTCCACAAAACTTTCATCCACAAATGCCTGGGTGAATCGAGCTATGGAAAAATCTGTTAGCGGAGTAGAATAGTTCAAAGTTCACAACCTTTGAAAATTGCTATTACATGGAGGATTACAAATTAGACCCCTGATCCTCATTTCTTAAGTTATAATTTGGGGCATTAATGTATGTGTGTGTGTGCACATGTGTGTATGCACGCTCACACACTGCGTGTGCTGATAATGGGGCTTAAGCTAGGCACTATCCCTTAGGCTTTTTGCTGTAGACTAGCATTCTAACATTCAATGTTAGAACAGCTCCCCTTCCAGCTTTTTTACTGGTAACTTGGAGATAAGAGTCTCATGGACTTTCCTGGCTCTGATCTGTGATCTTGAATCATACCCCTTAGATCTCAGCCTTTTGAGAAGCTAGGATTGCAGGTACCAGTGCCAGGCACCGATCTAAGGCATCTGTTAAGTCATACATCATTTCATCATAACATTTCTACTCTGGTACATACTTTGCTCATACTCTTGCTGTGGCTTACTAACTGAGGACAAGTAAGTTCAGACTTTAGCTGAGGATGAAGTGCTTTTCTGACATCATTAAAAAAATCATTAAAGATAAGACACTAACTGGAGGGCCTCTGCTTCAGAGCCCTGATGTATTAGGGCTCATGGATGAATGCTGTGAATGCAACTCAACAAGCAAGGAGAACGGAACCCTTGGGCTGACTGTGATCTAAAGCTAGTGTTCAGGACAAAAACCACCTAAGAACTGGATCTCATTCAACCAGACACAATTTAATGGCTGAGGCTCTGTCAGCGAAAACTCCACTTCTTTGCCATCTCTGCTGCCCCTTAACCATATGTAGGAGAAATACAGAGAGAGGGAGGTTAGGCCTTTCTAAAAGACACGTGATTTTCCTTTCTCCTCCTGGATATCCATTTGGCGGAGAGGGGGCATCATTTCTGTACAGACTATACTGTATATTATCCATTTTAGCCAGTCTCCAACTGCCGGCAGACTATCTCCAGCCAAATGACGTACCTACACATCAAAAAATTTCCAACCGAATTGAGCCGCCTCTTCTGGAAATGAGTTCTCCTCCTGAAGTCTGTTTTGTTCTTGAGTGACACCAACAATGTTTCAACGACTTAGAGTTAAAACTTCAGTGCCCTGTGGAGACTCGCATCTACTTCCTCTGTGATTCGCTAAAAGCCACCCTAACTTCCTCTGCTTTCCACAACCAGCTCCCCCCATTACCCCTACCCCAGACCCTAGGCCTCCTGTCCATCCCCATCCAACTTCTGTATCTCCATCTCAACTTCCTGAGCCATCAGGGCCGCGTGTGTTCCGGAAGCTACTATCTATCACAACTCACACAATCTACACACTCCCTAAATTACCTGTGTATTTTCCCTGTGTTTTCAGTCTATCGCTTCTCTTGACGCTATGCTTTCATCTTGAGGTTATGTTCACCTCGAAACTTTCCCCTTCCTCCATCTCTTTAAATCAGTCTGCAAGGGCGCTACTACACATGACCATCAGCCCGCTCCGAGGCCTGCCATGAGTCCTGTGGACTGCCAGGCACGTCTCTGCCACTCTCCCAAGTTTTTCCATACATAGACACTGACTAGCTCTTATCCTTCCTGGTCCTAACGTGACACACAGCAAATGCCCTTCGAAGAGCTACTGGCGCCAGGAAGTACCAAGAATCTCACGGAATCTCACATGAAAAACTACTGCTACTTGTGACTTACATACAACTGAAAATAATCCTTTAGTGACTTTTACATGTTTAAATGCTTATTCATAGTAGCAGGGCTAGCTTTGTAATGTATTTTATCTCACTTTTTTCTATGATTTGTGTGTGTGTGTGTGTGTGTGTGTGTGAAGAGGGTAATAGTCCTACAGCTTGTTGTCATACAAATCTGTACAAAATTCTATTTTATTTTTCATTTTAAAAACATACAAATCACAGTAAGACAAACCTATGAATATGGGGGAAATACCTGTTAAAATTAAATTTAAAGCTTGGCATGGTGGTGGACCCCTGCGACCTCGGCTATATGAGGAGGCGGAGGCAGGAGGGTCGTAGTTCTGTGGCCAGCCGGAGCAAACATGCAAGGCACTATTAACAAATAACTAAAAACTGACATTTAAAAATGAAGCACTCAGTACAAAAAATTGTTTTTTATGAAAAAAAAAACAGATAAAGAGTTGGAAATCAGCTAATCTTTCTTAAAAATTGTTGTATGGTTCTTTGATTTTTTCCAGCCTGAGATACAGTTAAGAAATAAAACTGTGTATTTTATGAGTCCATCTTGCTGCTTTGAGATATATTTTTTTTGTATGATCCTTTGTGGTTAATACTTCTGAGAGTCAGTGACACTGATGAGAGAAAATAGTAAAGGAGAAACCAAGGGGAAAGGTGGGTTTGGGGACCATTTACTTGTATTTTCCCGTTTTCTGTCCATAGCTTCTCTTGATCTGTGTAATCAGGGGGCACCTACGTGAACCACAGGTCACTGGGCTGGGAAGAGTGGGAACCCCCGGGGTCCTGGGTCTCCCTGCGTCTCGTGGGAACTTGGTGTCTCTGTGTTCTTAATTACTTGAGTGCATGGCCCACAAAGTGGACCAGGGCAGAGTGGGAAATGCTGGGGACTGTCACTTTCCGTCTACGGCAGGCGAAAGGGAGCCAGGACAGCAGGGTAGGAAGGGCTGGCACTGCCTGGCCTCCCGTCTGGTCACAGATGGAGGCCACACCCAGGCCCTGCACAGATCCTTCCCGCTGATCCATGACTACACACAGGATAGAAGACACCCTGAAGGCTGTGGCCATGCTCCATCCCCTGACTGGCTGCTGGTGATGAGTACACCGCGCCCTGCCTCGTCCACCATTACTCAGTGTGGGCGTCTTTGCTCTCCACCTTCTGGTGACAGCCTCGATCAGCAGCCTCGCCCTCCTCGCCCTCTGCCCCCGGGTGGCAAAGTCAAGGGCAGAGAAAGCCTGTGACCCTGCTGGTCTTCTGCTCTGTGTACTTCTCTGGCTTTTACAGAAATTTTGTACAGACATGTTCTAAAAATACAGTATGGATTCTGAGCCATGTAATAATACAGGCAGACTCGATTCCTTAGTGAATCTCAAGTGTACTAGGTCTAGCAGACTCACAGGAGAACTACATACACACAAACAACAACAACAACACAAAATCTATGAGAAATACTTGTGCAGAGACACAAAGAAGCCAGACTAGAGAGCAGGAAGGGAAACATTTGGCATGCACATTTTTATGTGTATTCCATTAATTTCCAAGACTGGCCTTAAGTTTTCTGAATAAGCTTGTATAAGTGAGAAGTTTGCCTTCCTGAACTAGAAGGGCTGGCAAAACACTGGGAATGCAGATGGTCAAAGAAGCTCATCAGGCAAGTATCATGTTTCACAGACTTGTAGAAGTTCTGGATGTCCTAGCTATTGCTATGGCTGCTGTCATGGCTGCTGTACCCCTTGTGGATACATGTTCGGAGTTATTTTATTCCTTGTGTCCACTATTACCCTGATCAGCAAAGAGAGCAGAAACTGGGCATCTACAACAGCTCTACTAACCCTGTCATTGGTCCAGTGCTGAATTCTAGGTGGCGGAGCCCAGGGGAGGGGGAGAGGGTTGAACGCCAGGATTTAAGGCTCCTTACCTAGTCACCATCTCTTTCTCCTTGTTGGAGGCATGTCCTCCAGAGCAGAGAGGCCTGCTTGCTGCAGACAGAAAGTACAGGCGATGGTTTTTGAAGTACTGATCAATTAAGGGAAGAACAACCTGAAAGAAAGGAGAAGAAATCAGATAATGGATTTGACTCATGGAGGATAAGAGAAAGCAGAGGCTCGGGGTATGCAGAGCTCATTCCTGGATGCCTGCCATTTCAGAGGTGCCCCCCCATCCTGTACCCATCCTGAAGGGCTGCATGAGTGTGCATGCATGCACACACACACACACACACACACACACACACACACACACACACACACAGAGCTAGTGCCACTTGCTGGCATGTGACTGTAGGAAAGAGAAGACGTCCAACAATTTGGAATTATTCTATTTCTCTCAGTGTAAAGAAAGTCAAGAAAAATTATTTACAGTGAAGGGTCTAACTCTGAAAATTTAATAGAAGACAAAAAATTAATCCCAAACAGGCTACCTTACGTATGTAACTGTAACCCCTCGGTACATCAACTTGACAATAAAATTAAAATGGAATGATTGGGCACTGGTGGCTCACCCCTGTAATGCTAGCTACTAAGGTTGAAAGCCAGCCTGGGAAGACAAATCCTTAAGACTCTTATCTCCAGTTAATCAGCAAAAAAAAAAAAAAAAGGCAGAAGTGAAGGTATGGCTCAATGGCTGGTGCCAGTCTTGAGCACAAAAGCCAAGCCACAGCATCAGACCCTGAGTTCAAAGCCTAGTATTGGCACAATTTTTTTTCAATTCATGAATTATGGTATTTGTATCAAATGATCTTCCCAACCATCCAAAGCAAGTATGCAGAAGGAAGACTGAGAGTGATAATGAGATGATCATGTTAACTGCGAAGTGTTGTGGGCAGAGCTCTTAGCCGAGGGCACTATGTCTCCATGGCAAATCCAGGTTACAGCCTACTGTGCCACAATGCAGATTGATTAATTCTGGTTAATTGATTTAATTAACTAACTCTTTGCAACCCTTCATCATCTTCCCCTCTTGACTGAAAGGAAGCGATGTGTGTGCCCACCCCAGCACACACCCTTGGTAAGTCCTTATCAATGCACATGGGTAATAAGTATGGGAGATGCCTGTGTCTAAGCAACGTCCTCTGAGCCAATTCTCTCATCTGTAAGACGGATATGACGGCGGTCATACACCATTCATAAATTACCGACAAATGAGCTAACGTTTGCCTTCCGTTCCAAAAGGTTCACGTAAAATATTAAATCATAACAATCTCCAGATGCTCAAAGGGAAAAACTTTCTGATGAGTCACACAAGAAAGCCAAAGAATTAGAACTCTTGACTTCAACTTCTTCTGGCTCAAAAGTCATTGGAAGGCTTTGATAGAGAGGGCTGAGGGAGGGACACATGCACAGCTAGGCTGGCAGCAAAGCGGCACACAGTTAGGATGGCTATTGTTACTATTATTATTATTATTATTGCCAGAGAATATTTATTCATAGTTGAAATGCACATGGATAGACAGGTACCGATAATGCCATGAACACTGTAAACACACAGGGAAGCGTGAACAAGACTGGGGAGAGAGGGACTCCTTGGGGGTACAAAATACTGTACTTTGGCGAAGAACTTGATTTCCTGTTCATAAGGAAAATGCTCTCCTTTGCTTCTGCTGCCACCATCTGTGGACAGAGAAAGTTTTTAGGTACATGTTGAACTTTGAAGATGACAAGGTACTTCCCCACCAAGCTTTGACTACATCGCTAACTACTACCCCACCAAACTGTATCGATATAATATATACACCCCAAGATAGGCAGGCTCCCTTCTGCCAGGTGCGGTTGGTCTGTGTTGGAGGATTCATGGGAGGACTGCAGTCTGAGGCTCGCCCAGAACAACAACAAAGTATCTTAGGACTATCTGAAAAAATAATTAAAGCAAAAGAAAGTGTGTAGGGGCTGGGTCAGGTGGGGAAGCACCTGCCTAGCCAGCACAAGGCCTTAGCTCAAACCCTGGTACTGCCAAGAAAAGCAAAACAGAGAAAGGGCACAATTCCCTCAGACTTAAGGAGGAGTGCATTCTGTATATGGTGTAAAGTCAAAGACAAAGGTGAAGATGCAGCAGTTCTATTGTAGTAACAACCTAAGAGGCAAAGGGAGAGAGATGAAGATTTCATCCCAGCTCTCTACCTGCTCCTCCAATACATTTCTTAAAAGAGAATTCCTTCTGTCTCAGCCATCTGCAAAAGGTACATGCCACAGGAGACACTGTAGGAAGTGTTCTTTCATTCCACTCAATCTCTGTGACCTACTCTCCCTCCCCCCTCCCCTCCCCCGCCCCCTCCCCCCCCCTGCAGCATCCTGTCTCTATGATCCTCTCCCTGTGGAAAGAAAAGAATGTTCCAAGTGGGAGGACTCGCCTTGGTGCAGGATACTTGCCACTCCCTGTACAGAAGCACTGGAGGTGTGCTTATTTGGAAACAGGAAGAAAGTGTGAAAAAGTAGCTCAACCCACTCCTACTCTGTATGTAGCTTAAAAAATATTTTTATTCCCTCTCCCTCATTATTTACTGTTCTTCCTTCTCTCTTTCCGTGCCAAAAGAAGACTGGGCCTTGGGCTTGAACCTGATGCCACCTTCCCACACCAGATCCTTTTAAGTGGAGATTGGAAATGATGCAAGATGCTTCAAACATTTACACCCACTTCATTCTCATTCTTAGGGTGAGTTTCATTCATTCATTCATTCAGACTAATGTGGTGATGTGTTAGAATGAACCAGAAATCCTATCTTTAAAACCTACAGTTGCACAAGTTGTAAAGAGATGATGTGTCATAAATTAGTTTACAGGAAAGAAGATGACTGAGAGCAGAGAGTATCTGAGCTATAGCTAAAGAGGCAGGTTGAAAGAGAACTTGGTTTGTTTATCAGAATGATGTCCTTCATCCCATTCAGGATTCAACAGCCATGAACAAGAAGAAAATACCAGAACTCAAATTTCTATAAACTTTCCTCCAACACTGATCCAGAAACCAAATACAAACCTAAGGAAAAGAGCAGCGGCTCATATCTGCTGTCCCAGCTACTCAAGAGGGAAGGCTGAAGGATCACTGATGCAGGCTGACTCCAGAAGAGATGTTAGCAGGACCCCATCTCAGCAAACAAGCAGGAGTGTGGGGATGAATGCTTAGCTATTAGGGAGGCCTACTTAGGAGGCTCTCCATCTGGGGGGGGGGGGCTTTAAGTGGTGCAGCACTTGCCTAGCAAGCATGAGACCCTGGGTTCGAATCCTAGTACTACCAATAGGGGCAGGCAGGAAGAAACAAACCACTGGGAGTGAAAAGGGAATCCACCAAAAGGTACAAACCGACGGCATATACCCTTTTACCACCCAGCACTGGACGGTGATCTGACAGAGGGAAAGTAATGAACGAGAATTTCAACTCCGCAACCTGACCGAGGTGGTTCTGAAAAGGAGAGGCTGCCTTGATGCCTTCCTCCTAATCTCTAAAGTCTCATGCTGACATGGCACCTGGCAGGTGGAAGAGGCCCCTCACTGTTCCCCAATAACAGAGTCCCCTGTACTGCAAAGTCCTGCTCTGTCCCTTGGAAAGCTAATCTTGGTCCCCTACAGCACTTAGGACTTCCTAGGATTCATATCGTTTGAGACTGTCGTTTTCCTAAAGTACACCAACTGCTTTCACAGGAGATTGTACTCTACCTTAAAATTTGCCCCATGCGTATTTTTCTAATCACAAAAAGTCAAACCCATCAGCATCCCACGGCAAAAGGAATTGCATATAGTGGACATTTTTAAAGTTCCCACATTTCCCCATCACCAGCAGCTGCTTTGTCTACTGGCTATTGGACCGAGTTTGGTAGTGCACTAGAGAGACACGTTTCTGGGATGGGGAACCACCCTGAGCTTAATGCTGTTCTACAATAATAACAACAGTAACTAATTGAAAACACGGATAAGTGAATTCACAAGGGGCCCAGGTGCCTACCAAACTCCAGGATATACTGATGAGCTTCGTCCACATAGCGAATGAGCTGCTGTAGGAAACTGTAAGCAAAGCGCTTCTCGATGGAAGGTGTGTCCAATTCCAGGTCTTTGAATCCTCTGGAATGGCAAACCGGAAACAAGCAAACAGGTAAGCACTGTCTCTTAGAAGGGAAAATGTTGCTTAAAAAGTAACAACCAAATCCTAGTTACTCCAGAGGTTGAGATCTGAGGATCGCGGTTCAAAGCCAGCCCAGGCAGGAAAGTGTGTGAGACTCTTATCTCCAATAAACCACCAGAAAACTGGAAGTGGCACTGTGGCTTAAGTGGTAGAGCGCTAGCCTTGAGCTGAAGAGCGCAGGGACAGCACCCAGGCCTGGAGTTCAGGCCCCACCACCAACAAAAATAAATAAATAACAACCAAGCAGGGAGCTGGGGCTCATACCTGTAATTCTAGCTACTTAGGAGGGTGAGATTTGAAGATTGAGGTTCAAAGCCAGCCCAGGCAGGAAAGTCCATGAGACTATTATCTCTAACTATGAAAAAAGCAGGAAGTGGCACTGTGGCTCAAGCAGTAGAGCTCTATCCTTGAGCAAAATAACTCATAGTGCCTAGGCTCTAAGTTCAAGCCCAAGGACAGGCACCAAACAAAACCAAACAACAACAAAAAGCCATGAATATAATTTTGGGGCAAATTTTGAAGATTATCTAATATTCTTTTACCACTTTAAGGTGAGAGAAGTTTTTTTGGGGGGGGGGTCAGTTATGGGGCTTGAACTCTGGACCTGTGCACTATCCCTTAGGTCTTCAGCTCAAGGCGATCGCTCTACGACTTGATACATAGCACCACTTCCAGTTTTCTGGTGGTTTATTGGAGATAAGAGTCTCACACACTTTCCTGCCTGGGATGGCTTTGAACTGTGATCCTCAGAACTTAGCCTCCTGAGTAGCTAGGATTATAGGCATGAGCTACCAATGCCCAGAGAGAGAGAGAGAGAGAGAGAGATTTTAATTTAAGTGGAGTCTTCTGCACCAGACCTAACACTGCAGCGAATAACTCGATTACTGTGCGGTGGAGAGCCTGCTGGCCATTCTGCCCACACCATGGATGATCACGGAACACAGTTCCCAGAAAGAACTCACCTAAGTAGGAACAGCCAATGGCCTGAATATCTCTGGTGTATTTTGAACACAGTACCCGAAGTTTTGAACAGATCACTGAATTCATGTTTGTGCTGAACTCCAGTGGGGGAGTTCGTTATGCATTCTTTCCCGAGGAAGGCGTGGAGTGGGGCTCTGTTACCTGGACACGGCATAGCCATTGATCTGCAGGAACTTGAGGATGTCCTGCGCCTTCTCCCTGTCCTTGGCTTTCTCCTTGGCGGTCAGCGTGTCGTAGGGCACAAGCAGGGGATGGTTTCCGCCTCCTGAGCAAGGCAAGAGAGGGACATGCGACCTCAGATGACCCATAGCACGCCTCTGCACTAGTCTCTGGGATTCTGGAGAGATACTCATGCTCCTTTACCCCCCCACAGTGCCTGGGACACCCCAAATAACTCAGGAAATCAATGCAAGATGGCGCCCGTACCTTTCTGAGGGCATTTGCACCATAAGTGTGCACTGACAGGTGACACTAAGCAGCAGGAGGGAGTTCTGTTCAGAGGAAAGCCACACTCAGCCCTACACAGCAGACCCAGTACAATGAGAGGGCAAATTTCATTTTCTGCCCCACACAGAGAAAAACTATGTTAAATAAGAATGTTTGACTGTATCTCTTAAGTCTGTAAGTACTTTTATAGTGACATTATTAATAAAAACACACAACTCTATGTAAATATGCAACTTAAGAGTCTGAGCATTCACTTGGACACCAGTGGCTCACGCCAGTTACACTAGTTACTCAGGAGGCTGAGCTCTGAGGATCGTGGTTCAAAGCCAGCCAGGGCAGAAAAGTCTATGAGACTCTTATCTTCAATTAACTACCAAGAAGTTGTGAGCTGAGCTATGGATCAAGTGGTAGTGCACTAATCTTGAGATAAAAAGCTCAGGAATTGCAGCCAGACAGTGAGTTCGAAAGAGTGACATTGCCCCATTTGTTAGGAAATGGAAAGACTTGGAAAAAATTCTATTAAGTGAAGTAAGCCAGGCCCAAAGAAACATAGGTCCCATGGTTTCCCTTATTTGCAATAACTAGTATATGTCTGAGTCACCCAGAAAAGGTCAGATAAGGTGATCTTAGGGAAATGAACCCTAAGATATGTATTCAAATGTTTTTTCTTTCATGCAATTGTTTCTAACACATTTATAAGATTATTTTTTGTTGCTTTGTATGTCCCTCCCCCACAGTATAACCCCTGCTTTCACTGTATTTGATGTCGGTATAATTTTTGGAGGGGAAGGGGGAAAACAAATCGTTTAAATAGGGATAAAGGTGGACCCATTGCACAATGAGATGTACAAGTCGTTATGGGGGGGGGCGGGGAGGATTGGGTAGGGAGCTGGGGGGAGGATGGGAAGGGATGGGAAGGGGAAACAAAGGAGGAGGCTACAATGCTTGATAAGAAATGTACTCATTATCTTGCCCATGTAATTGTAACTCCTCTGTACAATATTTTCACAATAAAATAATTTGTATTTCTAGTATTATTTTGTCTGTAAGAAGTAACGAAAGCATTCCATTCCTTTGAATTTAAAAACTTCTAGAGTGTTTAATTACTAAAGAAAAATGTCTAGAGGTACAAAACATTAATTTTTAAAAATGCTAAGTTATAAAAAATATGAAGTTCATTTTTACTCTTTCAAGGGTCCAGATCTTGCATAAAGACTGTGGTTGAAGTAGCAGTACACAGTCCATGAAAATGCAAACATCATAAAACTTATGATGTAATGAATATTGGGCAGCACATTCAATTCCTTGAGGTAAAGCAGCTAAAGAAATTTGAGACAGAAACAGAACATGACTGTTGTTGTTTGAATTATGGAAACAATATACATAGCACCTAAGTTTCCACAGCAGCTTAGCAGGGGTTGCGAAAACAATTTTAAATGCTGAGGTTGCTTTAGCCATAAAATAGGCCAGGAGCCTTGCAAAAGAAGGCTGCTGCTTTCCTGTGGCTGGATACATTGTGAGAACAAAGAATTCATTGTGCATCGAATGTAATCACTACCATTTAATCAGTAAACCCCAATTTCAAACTGCATTACTACATTCAGTTCTAGATCATGTTCATTTGACAACTAACATGCAATCCACAATGATTCTGGGGCCAAATATCAATGAGTGAGTGAGAGACAGACAGACAGACAGAAAGGGCAGGCAGAATAAAGTCTATTAATTTAAAACTCTCAAGAACATAAAGAACACAAAAATCTCTGACTCAGAAATTCTTCTCACCTCAAGAGCACTGCTGAACTACACAGGACAAGTGTACACTTGAGATCGGCCCGCAGATCAGAACATAGATCAGAAAAAGAAGACAAACGAACTCTGGCTCTTGACATTTTTTTTCCATTCATTTTGGACCACTGAACCACTCATAATAGTTTGGGGACTTTCACTCCTTCCTTCCTTCCTTCCTTCCTTCCTTTTCTTCCTTCTTTCACTTTCTCTTTCCTTCCTTCTTTCATTCTTCCCTCTTTCCTTCCTTTATCCACCTCTTCCTCTTCCTTCTTCATCTCTCTCTCTATCTCTCTATCTCTCTCTCTCTCTCTCTCTCTCTATCTATCTATCTATCTATCTCCTTTTAGGGAGGGTAGAGATTGAGCCTAGAGCCTGGCACCTGCCAGTCAAAAGCTCTAGCGCCAAGTTGTATCCCTAGCTCTTGCTTCTTAATGCATATTTCCCGTATGGTATTTGATTTCCTCCAAACCCTTCTGAGTTTCCTCAAGCACAAACCAGAACACTGAAGACTCAATGAGCACAAAAGGCAAAATGTGAGTTTTTCTTAAGTTTTTCTAAAGCAGATTTATTTCTTCAAATGGATATAGGAATGATAAAAGAGATCAGAATAGTTGGGAAAGAAATTGTGCTGGCTGGATTTTTCAGTGTTTCTGACTCTCTCTCTCTCTCTCTCTCTCTCTCTCTCTCTCTTTCTCTCTCTCTCTCTCTCCCTCTTCTCCCCCCCACACACAAAATTTAGACATATACCCAGTGCCAAACAAATAGCAAATACAAGTAAATAAAAGACAGAACAAAGGGGATTTGTTAAACAGACTGGACAAAGGAAGAAACTGAGATGGAAAATAGAAAGGCATGAAGTAAAAGATATTTAAGTTGGGGCTAAGAACCAAGAGAGACACTTCTACATAGTGCAATTATAGACAGTGACAAAATGGTTACAGAAAGCCTCCAAACTTCTAAGACATGGGAAGACACACACTAGTAATCAGGAAATTATAGAAGTTTCTACCTGAAATCTTGCACTATTGAAACATTCTAATAAGCTCTTGTGCTAAAAGAAATAATTATGACATCTGCACCACACATGACTGGAGTTAAGCTATGCGTTTTTTAATGGAGGGTTCTAGAAAATTTTACCTTTGGATTCCAACTCCATTTTCTTTTTCTTTGCCCATATATTATGGTAGTTTTCAGCCATCATTTCTGCCATAGCCTGAAATGTACCAAATATTGAAGATCTAACTTACATTTCAATGAAGAAGAGTATATATGCTTTCTAAAAGTTAATATCAAAATAAGCCTTACACAAATAAGGTCACAGTAATAGCACCAAAACACATTAAAGAACATCAAACACAATTCTCCTTTGGAATGAACATCTTTACTGAACACAATAATGAAGCTTCAAAACAGTGGTGGGCTTCAGCATAAAATATATTACAATTTATAAGCTTCTTATGTTGATTGCAAAAGCTTTAACTGATGGCCTAGACCTTATTAAACAATTAATGCAAAGAACACCGGTAGGGTCAAAAGATTTCACTTCTAGATCATTCTCTGCCCAACCCAGGTAATAAGCTTTGGACTCGCCACATGATGCAATCTGAAGCTTGTGGGTTTTGGTAATCACTTCTATCATTCTTTTCAGTTTGTATTTAAGTTCACTACATACTTTTAATACATTCCTACAGGAGAAAAAGCTAAGGGGAGATCCACAAAATTTAACCAGAAATAAAAGTTACATTGCTCCCCTTACACCTCCTGAGCTAACAACGTAATTGTACCAGACTGACGCATTCCCTTACATTCTACAGAAACAAGCTTTATCGTTCGTTCAAATCAGCTGTTTCGCAGTAAGTTCCTTAGTGACAGATAAAGCTGTGGATGACACAGGGAAATGCCACCCATTTCTCCAGGTGAACAATCTAATTACATGTTCTTCGGTGAATAGTTCACGGTCACCTTAGGTGGCATGTTACTACTCATTATTATTCTCTTCTCACACGCAGATCATCACAGTGGATATCAGTTTTTGAAGGAAAATGTGTTACAGGAAGAAAGCATCCTTGAAAAGCTTACACAGCCAGTTACCTGTTATCTGGGGAGATGTGTTTCAGGATGCTCAGTTGAGAGCTAAAAACTCAGGTAGTACTAAATCCTCTATATGACATATATATAGTGTTTTTGCATCATACCAGACTGCATCTGCCCTTCCGTGTTTTATGCACTGTCAGCTCCTTTGCATCTATCTTCTCCTGCACTTTGGGGTCATTATGAAGGTAAACTGAGGTTCACTTAACACAAGCACTATAAGCCATGGAAAAGGATCTACTACTGCCAAGTGGTTAAAAGGAGGCTAGCGCATACAGCATGGAAACAGTAGACAAAGGAATGATTCCAGCCAGGGCCAAGAAGAACAGAGCAGAGCAGAACAGGATGGCAGGAAGCTCTGTCTGCCACTCATAGTGGGATGTGACTTCAAACCTCAAAACTGATCACTCCCAGAACTGCCCGTTTAATCTCATAGAATGCAGTGTGGGTGGGAATAACTGAAATCCCAGAGGTGGATCTGTAGCCAAGTGAGACTAACTGTCGCAATTTTTAAGATACTAAAAGTGACCCAACATAGCTCTCAACTAGACAGAGGTCCGTTCGAGGATGGCTGTAGTCAAAGACTTCAGGTGGCAGAGATGATGGGATACCTTCTAGAACTCAAACTTGGTGATCACTTCGAAATCTGAGCAATACTTACATGCAGATCTCTGGAGAGTGTGACGTTGCTCATGTCAATGGCCCGGGGGCTGTAACCATGGGCAGTGTCCACAGAAACCTACATCATTCATGTAAACAAACAAACAGTGCCTCATTTAAACCCCTATGGAGAAGCATCACTCTAGAAATACACCGTAGACAAACTTCCACACACGTATTCACAGAGAAAAGCAGTGAGTTATCTACATTAAATGATCCTACAGACACATCCAGAAAATCACATTCTATTTGGGTGTCTAACAATTATTTATGCTTAAATAACTCATTTGAGTGTCTTAGGGGTTGGAAAATACCACAGCCTAACGGTCAGAGTTCACCAGATTGTATGGTGAATTCCAAATTCTGAAATGTTCCCTTATATAAAGGTCATTATATTCTTGAGTTTCTTATAAATCCTACTTAGCTGTAATGAATTACTCTGCTTCAACCAAGCAATAAGGAGTCAAAAAGGTCAGAATTTACCAGTGTCCTTGTGGGTTAGACCCTAGGACAAAACAGATCAGCTTTGAATTAGGAAAGGAGAACACATGATATTCTGTAGGTTTTTCCCTTCCTTCCTTCCGTCCTTCCTTCCTTTCCTTCTTTCCCTTTTATTTTTTGCACTGGTCCTGGGGACTGAACTCAGAGCCCCACATTCTAGAAAAGCTTTTTCCCTCACAGCTGGCATGCTACCACACCTCCAGTCTGCATTTTTGCTGGCAAATTTGGAGATAGAAGTCCCTAGGACTTCTCTGCCCAGCCTGGCTTCAAATTTCCCATTAAATTACCACCTCCCCAGCTTCCAGCCCCTAAGATTGAGTCCCAGGTCAAGTCTCGACTTTGCCTCTCCCACCCTGAACTTGAAGCCACCAGGCTTGAGAGTCACAATGCTGGCTGCTGGCTTGAACATGGCTCCCGTCCCTAAATCCTTGTGCTACCTGCTGGTCATCCATCTCCCTTGGTGCCGGACAGGTATTCAAGGTGTGCAGATGGCCTGGTCTACAGACGTGGGGCCCACTGTCTCATCACCCCGTTCCTTTGGAAGCAGCCTCACTGGTGGCAGGAAGCCAGCAGAAAGTTCTACAGGCAACTCACTACAGTGATGAGAGCAGTTTATCCATCAAGCTCCAGGACAGGGAGCCCTGTCTATACCAGCCAGGAAAAGCAAGACTCAATGCCTCAACACACACTCACCTCACCATCAAATACAGCGGAGGTATTCTAGTCTTCTCCTCTCCCTTGTAAGTTTTGTTAGGCTTGAGACGTTTCCGTTTCCCTTTGGAAACACTCAACCATTTCATAAATTATTGTCAACGTGATGGCGATGGTTAATTGCAAGAAAGTCTGTCACTATGTCTTGGCTAGTTTCAAATTCTGGGGGAGGCCCACATGAGCCTCCTGCCTCAGGCACCGGAGTGGCTGGGACTACAGGAAGTCTCACCATGAGCACTCCAAATACCGTTTAAAGTGGCGGGAGCAGCCCCTTCCCTGTGTGGGTCTCACCTGGCTCGTCTGGGAGATGCGGCGAGTCCGGTTGTACAGCGCCATGCTGTCCCCCTCCCGGGTCCTCTCCACCCGCCAGCCCCACGCCAGCATGGTTTTCAGAGACTCTTTGATTGGCCAGCGATAAATTTCTTTTTCCTAGTTGGGAGGGGGGGGAGGACAAAAACAAAACAATGATCAGGGATATGATAGCTGCTGTGAAAATTCCAAATAGCTCTTGTGTTCTTCTGAAATAAACTGCCTTCATTAAAAAACAAAACAAAACTGGCATTAGTGTCAGCTACTTAAAAATGAAAAACTGAAGTAAAAATGGCAAAGAGAAAAGAGTGTGTGCAGAGACGCGGTGTGATGCGGCTGCCCAGAGGGGGTTCCGGCCCGTGCCCACAGTGGGACATCAAAACCCTCTGGGGCCCCCCATCCTGGGACCTTTATAGAAACCAGAAGGGAGAGGCCCCCCCGGGGGACAAGATCCCACGGTGCTGCTCTGGGGGAAGGCAGGGCGCCCTGCACACACAGCTCATTCTTCGTACGAAGCTCCATGCTAGAATCCTTTCCCTCCATGCAGAAGTATTCATATTCCCTCACAGAACCAAAACCACAGACACAAGGCATGTACCCCTCTCCAGAGACTCTCAGCTGGGATGAAAATATTGTCTAAGTAAAACACAGAGTGGGCAGAGTGGCTCATTTCTATGATCCCAGTGATTTGTGAGGACTGTAGTTAGTTAGAGACCAGCCCTGAACACAGGTGAGAGGGACACTATATCAAAGAACAAACTTAGCATGGTGGCTCACATCAATAATCCCAGTTGCCTGTAAGATAGACATAGAAGATCACAGCCTAAGGCCAACCTGAGGGAAGTAGCAAGACCTTATCTGAAAAGTAACTAAGGCAAAAGGGAATGGGGATATGACTCGAGTGGTAGAGTACTTGCCTAGCAAGCATGAGGCCCTGAGTTCAATCCCCAGAACCACAAAAGGAGGGGGGAGGGGAAAGAGGAGAGGGAAGAGGGAAGGAGGGAGGAGCAAAGAGAAGAAGAAAAGGGGAAAAGAAAATAGAAGAAATCGGAAAGTTAAAATATACATATAAAATTAAAAAGATATTTTAATAAGTAAATATACAATGAAAAATAATTTCCAAACAATGAAAACTTCATGACTTAGAAAAGGTCCTTACCTTTTCAGATAATAGTTTATAAGGCTTCATTAATGGCTGAACCTTTGAAGAGTCTGAATATATTTCTCCATAAATCCATCCATTTGCCAACTAAAAAGAAATACAAAAATCAGAACCTGTTTCACAAGTATCCATTTTAGAGAGTTTAGCTAGCATATGTTTAGTTTAGCTAGTTTAGCTAGCATATGTCTTAAATATGTTTGATAAAATAAACCTAAAGTGAACCAAGAGAAGGATTAGAGTTTACTTTTTTTTATTTTGTGCCAGTCCTGGAGCCTGAACTCAGTGCCTGGGTGCTGTCTCTGAGTAATTTTGTTCTACCACTTGAGCCACAGCTCCACTTCCAACTTTTTGGTGATTAATTGAAGATAAGAGTCTCATAGACTTTCCTGCCATGGCTGGCTTCGAACTATGGTCCTGAAATCTCCACCTCCTAGGTGGCTAGGATTACAGGTGTGAGCCACCAGCGCCGGGCTTGAGTTTACACACCAGCACACACAGCTCCATCTTCATCAATGTTATGTTCAGTAGTAATCTGGAGTGAGTCTCCTCATCCAGATTGGACACTCTGCGTCCCCAGTGCAAAAATCCCACAAAGGACAGGCGTCCAGCCCCGGTGTGGCTTGTTTTGATGTGCCTGGGGACCCCACCTAGGTCTACTCAACACTAATTAAAAACAAGAATATTGGAGTGTGCAACTCAGGAGCTTCCCGAACAGTGCTACATCTGCCATGCCGACACACCTGGTTCCCCTATCACTGCACCTGTCTGGACACATTGCCATTTCCCTGGAGCATTCTGTGCCAAGGGATCTGGATAAGGGGACTGGAACAGCTCGGAGCTACCTTGCTGCACTACACCTAGTCACCACCAACTCCGGCCATTCAAAATTTAGTGGTGTCAATATACAAAAGAGCCCCTTATGCCCAGAGGCCTGTGGCTCCTGCCCATAGTCCCAGCTACTCTGAAGGCCAAGATCAAAGGATTGCAGTGCCAAGCCAGCCCAGCAAGAAAGTCCTTGAGATTCCAACCAAAATTAGTGAGCAAAATGCCAGGCTGGAGGTGTGGGACTCATAGGGGAGGAAAGGAGGAGGAGAGAAGGGAAAAGGAAAGAGAACAGAGGAAGAGGAAGAGAGAGACAGAGAGAGGAGCCCCCTAGTTAGGAGATGTTGATAGAAGAGCTACACTGAGAACTTGGGGTCACAGCTTCATCCTGACTGAAGTCCCATGATTTTTACCTTTAACTCCATAAGCAATGTGTTTAGGGCTGGGAAGGTGGCTCAGTGGTAGAGCGCTTGCCTTGCATGCTCAAGGCCCTGGGTTCGATTCTTCAGCACCACATAAGAAAAAAGAAAAAAGCCGGAAGTGGCGCTGTAGCTCAAGTGGTAGAGCACTAGCCTTGAGCTGAAGAGCTGAGGGACAGTGCCCAGGCCCAGAGTTCAGGCCCCACAACCGGACCCAAAAAAAAAACGCATCCGTGCTATCTTTAATTGCTTTTGAAATCTTAAAGTCATGCTTAATATCAAGACAAATGTTCTTATTCACATACACTTCTTTTTGCTATGGCTGAGCTAGCTAAATATTCTATTAGCATGTTGTAATGGAATCTGCTCTCCTAGCTTAAAGCTCTCCCTTGAACTCAGAAATCTGTCACAAGCAGACACGTGTAAGCAGTGACTGATTGCTAGTAAGGACAGCCCTGAACAGGCAGTATCTCGCACTTTTACCTTGTTTGTGGACCATTTGTCATGAGAACAGACACATGTAAGCAGTGACGGATTACTAGTAAGGACAGCCTGAACAGGAGGTAGTTCATACTTTTACCTTGTCCATGGACCATTTGTCATGAGAATGCTCTGCATATTTGTTAATGAAGTATTCCAACTTCTCAGGAATTGTAATACTATGAGAAAAAGAAAGGAAGAGCTTGATCTTCACAGAATTTACAGGAAATCAAAGTCATAATTTACTCACAAGTAATGAATGCTTAGAGCCACTGAATGCCTAACTGCTAAAAATAGCTTTGACAAAGTATTACTTCTGGTTTTAGAAAAGAAAAAATTGAAAGTCAAGCAGATAAAGTTTCATCTGCTCTGACATTGATAACTCTCCTCTTAGGTCTTAATGTAACAAATGGAATATGATAAAATATGCATAGTGTAAATGTATTCAAAGATGAAGACAATAGATTATATATTTTTGAAAAAACCTTAAATCAAGACATAATTAGACTCAATGAGCTTAAAGACACGTTTCTCTCCCATACTTTCTAGGAAGATAATCTCCATTTGTGACTCATGGTTTCTGTTGCAACAATAAACAGACAAAAGATCATGGACACTGGACCTGCTGGACTTTCTAATTAGTTTCCAGTGCTGTGTTAATGGTACCAAATATCAATGGTCTAGAGATAAGAGGATAAATGTTACTAATATTGACTGCAGGCAACAGCCATTTCCTAAGTCATGCCTCGTAGTTTCCACAATGTTACTCCTTTCCTGTTTAAATTACTATTTACTCCCCTGTGTAGATACCCAGCACATTTGAGGCATGACACATCTGGTAGCAAATGTAAGACTTGAGAATATCAAACCTACTCATGAATAGAAAATTAGATAGACACTGAATTCCATTCATTAGTAAAGGTAACTCACTAAAGCAATTAACTGTTGAGATTCAAATTCTAAATGAAGCCTGGTGCCCTGTGATGGTTTTCTTTGGCAGAATTATCAGTTGGTCACTGACACACAGATATTTAAGAAGCAATACACTCTTACAGGAATGATTACTATCACCGTATAAATCTATACCTGTTAACTACTTCCCAAAGAGGCAAGCCATGCCTAGTTAAATCCATACACATGCCCAATTCTTGATCATTAGTTGGATTTAAATAGTCAACACCAACCCCATGTCACTGTTCCTCTGTCATCTGAAAATCCTATGGGTGAGAATGTTGAAAGGGTTGACAACGATCAAGATGCATTGTCAAATGGCAAATCCTTTGTACCACTCCTTAAAGATGGCAATAAAACAGAAATAGAAAGCCATGGGTTTACACTGCATGTGAGCAAACCACACACTTACCCTGGTAGGAGTTTAAACCTGTGATGTTTTGGTCACTCACTTTGGAAGACACACAGGGTTAATCACATAAGCCAAATACTGGGGGTGTGGGAGGGGGAAATTTTGACTTTTTTCTCCTAAGACTGCTGTCAAATATCAAAGGTGTCATTTTAAGGCATTATCAGATTAATGGCTGGGCATGTGGGTTGGATCCTGATGTGATTGGAAGGTTAAAGTAGGGTAAACCAGCTTGGGGCTACCCTAGAGACTCAAAGTTGAACCTAAGTAAATCCAGTAGCAGTGGATAATAACCACCACTTGCTAACTGGAGTTACCAAGTCACAAAGGAATTGGCATGATCATGTAGCATGGGAAATCAGTAACAGCATGAAATGCCATGACACTTCAGATACATGGAGTGCCAATGCATCTTATCTTTAGGAGAAGGCACCCAACTAAGCAGACATGAGACGTCTCATAAAGTTAACTGATGTCTGGTCTCCAGTTGTCAGAGTACATTCTGCATGCTTCCTCCCCCCCCCCAAAAAAAATCCATGTCTTGTCTCTCCGGTCTCATGATGAGCTTTCTGAGGCAAAGCGTCCGCCACACACACTGGGCCTGGCTGAGATGGACGAAGCCAGTCCCTGTCACCCAGAATCAGCCTCGCGGTTCACACTGGGATTGCCTATGTTAAAGAGTACTACACAGTGGTCACCTATGGATACTGACAAACACACCACAGGCAAACTTCCAACTCAAAGCACGGCTAACAGCTGCCTCCTTGGTTCTCAATATGATAAGCTATTGCCACATAGTTATAGAGTATCATCATCAAGTGAAAACTATCCTCAAAAGCAACCCTCATCTGCTCCTGATCTTAGAGTTACTCTCATTGGATAAATTAAAGGGATTCCTAATTAAAAGGATACCAATTCAAAGGGGGCAGGTATCAGAGAAAGTTCACATCAGTACCTTATTCAATTTCAGACTTCACACATCATTTACAATAAAAATCTGCTGCAATAGAAAGAGTCCATACTTTGAGGTATCAACAGGTTGGGGGTTAAAGTTCCCTTCAGAATCCATGGACGACTGTTTTTCCATCAGATTCACATAGTTTGACTCCATGTAGTCGGGAGGCAAAGCCCCTGCAACGGCACTCAGGCAAGGCAGCGCCAGTTTGAAAAGTTCTTGTTCATATTTCTGGGAAGAAGAAGAGACAAGTCAAACCAAAGTCATGACATGACCTTGTAACAAAGGCTGGCATCATCACGGCCAGTACAACGCTGCAGGAGAAAAGGTGAATGGACCGGGGACTATCCTCTCTCCTGCAAACTGAACCCACAGCAAAGATGGGGCTTACTGGAGGGCAGCTTAAGGGTGATAAAATCCTCACTTCTCAAAAGTCTATCCTCCTATATTTAACCTCAAAGATATTCTAAGTTTGTATAAAACAACCTGTAATACTAGCTGCTTGGGAGGCAGAAGCAGGAGGAATGGGGTGTGAGGCTAGCCCAGGGAAAAGTTCCAGGCTTTCATGACTAAACTAAAATGGACTGGAGTTGGGGCTCAAGTGACAGAGCATTTGCTTAGCAAACGTAAGACCTTGAGTTCAAATCCCAGCACCACCTCCATTTTTCCCCTCAAAAAATACCTTTACAATGTGGGCATTTCAGTCAATGCTGATTATCTCGCACATAACTATAGATTATTGTAATGACTACACAGGAAAAATACAGAGTATAACACCCCAGAGAGTGAGAAACATTTAACTGTGTTGCATTATAACCTTATGAAAGTGAAATTCCTACACTGAAATGCTATTCTAGTATCCTTGTATGCTAGCTACAGATCTATAGCCAGTATGAAATTTCCTGGGAAGAGGTATTTGTATATCAATGACACATTTAGTTGACCTTGAAGGTCTTTAAAAAAGCAGTATGAATATTTAAACCATCTCACTTAAAATGTTCTATTTTTAAGTTAATGTCATAAATGTACTGAAAAATGCCTCCACGTTATTTTTAAATGATTCTCAAGCTTACCAAAGTAAGAAAAAATACCATGCTGTAACTACTCTATGTAAGCACAGAGTTTTCTCCCCAAGCAACCTGTGAGTGCATCGCTCCACAGGTCCTAACAGTACCTGCCAAAACCCAAATTGATTTTGCTCAACTCGAGCGTGTGCTTACCAAATGTGTTGGTCTCACTCCCTTCTCAGTCATCTGAAAATACACGAAGTATTCACCAGAGACCTGGCCGCTGTAAGCCAACACTACACCATGCCACCCTGAACAGAGGTACTTGAATCTCTCTGGCACAAAAGCAGGTGTCAGCAGGCCATGGCAACATTCCAATTCCCTAAGACTGGACAGCCTTTTGTTTTTTTTGATCAGTTGTGGGGCTTGAACTCTGGGTCTGGGCCCTGTTCCTGTGCTCTTCAGCTCAAGGCAAGCACTCTAGCACTTGAGCCACAGCGCCACTTCTGGTTTTCTGGTGGTTCATTGGAGATAAGTCTCACAGACTTTCCTGCCCAGACTGGCTTTGAATTGTGATCCTCAGATCTCAGCCTCCTGAGTAGCTAGGATTACAGGCGTGAGCCACCGGCAGCCAGCTATCGCCTTCTATTTGATACAAATTCTTCGGACTTTGTAAGATTTGACAGGTTACTGGGGACGGTTTGAGTCCCAAATGCATCCAGATGCACTCACCACTCAACAGCCATAGATGTAACTCCCTGAAATGTTTTGCTACCTCAAATTCAGAAACAACATGATGATCACAAGCCCGCCACAGTGTATTCAGGAAGCTGAGAAAAAGGAAAATGGAAGCTACCTGAAATCTTGATTGCTACAGAGATTATTCCACGTTCTTATCAAGAGCCTGCCGCTTTTTATCATTTTTATCAAAATACATAAATCCACAAAACATTCCATTACCTTTTGAGACAAGGCATCAAAAATACCCCAGAACAGCTTTCGTGATAAATGCAGTTCTTCTTCTGAGGTAGTACCGAAATTGCCCCAGCCACCGGGCAGGCAGTAGTATTTCCAGCATCTCTCATAGTGGTTTGTCAACAGCTGTGCCAGAGAGCAACCGCAAAATTACAGTGAGCTAAGGCACCTCTGCCATCTCCCATCCTTCCTCATCAGTCATGCTAAGGCGACCTAATCAGGTCAGTGAGAATTGTCCAGGAGTACTTCTGGAAAATAGGACTGCTTACATACTTTCTGTCCCCTTAAAATATAACGCTGCTCACCATACACGTGCCAAACTTCAGCTTCACTAATGACTCTGCCTTGAACAGAGGTTCTCTACTCTCAAGTATACCAGCTTTCTCTCCAGAAATTCAAGCATGAAAGAAATGATGGCAGGGCGACTCAAGAGGAAAGCAAAGGAACTGTAGATCTGTGATTACTTTTGCTCTCTCTCTCTTTTTCTCCCTTTCTCCCTTTTCCCTCTTTCTTTCTTTCTTCTTTCTCTTTCTTTCTTTCTTTCTCTTTCTGTCTATCCTTAACTACCCTTAACTTTGAGGAGTAAACTCCCAAAGTTAATTGAATTGAATTTACTGTTTAAATTAATATACATTACTGGGGTGGCAAGAGATGCCATTTATTACCTTCCTAACTTTCTGACTATATGAAAAACAAAAATAAAAATCTTCAAATATTTGATAGCTTTTTGGCAAATCTATTCTATAAGGTTCAATTATATTTGAATTTTTTCTATACCCAAGGAGGAAAATACATTTACAAAGATTGTCATCATTACATAAACTATGGAAATAGTTCTTCTTGTTTCATTTCCCTTTTAGTTACAAAACACTGCATATGTGGGCTGGCAGTGGGGGTCCAAGTGGTAGAGTGCCAGCCCTGAGCAAGAGAGCTGAGCAAGAATCGGAGGCCCTGAGTTCAAGACCTGGTAATGCCACAAAAATAAGAAAAAAAAGTATTCTATATGTACTGTGTATATACATACTATGTATATACATACTGTATATACATATATTTACAGGATATATACTGTTAAACATATAAACACACATGTGTATTTTAATATATTTATATGTATATATATTTTATGTATCATATATATTTGTATATGTGTTATATATAAATATATACAATTATATATGTATAAATATACATGCATAAATACATAGGTATATATCATATACACAGTTTAGGAATAACAAGTGATATAATATTGAGATTTAATTTGCTTAGAATAACACAGATATACCTATGATATAAAAGGGTTTGCATGGGTTCCTTCATTTGTGGTAGCTAGAATGTGCTTATAAATCTGCAAATAAACACAAATGGATGGCAAAAATACACTGAAACATGATAAATTATACAGGTCTCTAGGCATTCACACAGTGAGTTCAAAGGAGGAAACTCAGGAGAGGCACAATACCTATATGCATCTGATCACATAAAATATTTGTCAAAATGAACTCCAGGAAATGGAAACAAGAGGGTTTTGTTGTTGCTGCTGTTGCTTTTTTTGTTTTCTTTTCCCTTTGTCTTGTTTGTTCATTTATGTGTCTTTGGGAGGGTGAAGGGGTACAGGAATTGTGGGACAAAGGATGAACAAGTGCAGCAGTGGTACTCACTGGACACTATGGTGAAAATGAACTGTACAAATTGTGAATGCGGATGGGAAGGAAAAACAAGGGGAGCGCAAAGGAAGGGGTGACATTGTCCAAAAAGAAATGTGTTCTTTATATGACTTATGTTACTGTCACATCTCTGTATGTCACCTTCATGATAACAATAAGAATGCATGAAAAGGGGTTTTAAAACATGTTACTCCAATTTTTTTTCAAGTAATTTTAACTCGTTTGTTCATGACAAAACCTCCCCCCATTCATAATAAAGGAACTAGAAAAATGAGATTTTTGTAAGGCTGCAATTTACTGTATTTAATGCTTTCACTCATCTATATTTATTAAACCAAAATCAGTATCCTTAAAGAAATGTTATCTTGCCAATTCTCAAAAAATACTTTAAGAATTTTTAAAGAAGAGTATGCCTATATCCCCGCCCTTTTCTTCTACAGGGCTATCACTGAGTGGAGAGTGGAAGGAGACACTTACTAGAGGCTACTTCAGGTGGTCATCTGAAAAAGCACATGTTTACCATAACCTGGATGCACAGACTATATCATCCTGAGTCTAGTTCGAACAGGAAACATTTGGAAGTCAGTTGGAAAGAATGAGACTTGGTAATGAACAAACTGGATAGTAAAGGTAGATGGGGAAAAAAATGTCATATTTCTATCTAGGAAGCTACAACTGTATATACCGAAAAGTTATCTTTGAGCACTACGACATGCTACTTGAGAACTGCCAAGTGGCTAACAACGTCTACAACATTGTTTCGTAAAGACTACTAATCATATTTTAGGCCAGGCCTGTGACTGGATTTTTCAGTCTAAGAATGTCTTGGTTTAACCACTTCTTTGTGGTCCTTTTATTTTCACAGCAATCGATGACTTTGTTTGTTTCAGGTTGATAGTCCCATTTCTACAAACTTACACGGTCACTTCAATAATTGGAAGAAACTTCCCAGTAGCCAACAGCATTCACACTAAGTCTAAGAGCTATCCGTGTAAGAACAAGAAACAAAGAGGAAAGAGTGTTCAGAAAGCTACAAACTGTTCATCTCCATACCTTCAGAGGCATCTTTGCATGTTCATTTAATAACGGGACGTCAAACACAAGTCTTCTGAGCAAGTGTTGCATCATAGAAGGTCTCAACTGGCTATTAGGGGGAAAAAACAATTTTAAGGATGAAATATGTCTAAAATAAGCAGATAAGTGTTAGACTATATAAGCCACCAGCCTGCCCTTTTGCCTCTCTTCACACCATACCCATTAGGCGTTTCTAGTCAAAGATTCAGCAATAGTTAAGACAATGACATAAAGTCATTTCAGTGAACACAGAATGAACCCAGAAGATTATAATAAAACCCCAATTTCCCATCCCCTAGTGATATCCTAACTGGAGTTAACTTCTAAGCACAAACCTTCCCTGACACATTCTGGTATTGCTGATACACTCAAAGCTACTCCCCTGTTAGTTAGTTGTAGGTAAGCAAGAGCAGGTATAGTATGGACGGCCTGTAATATCTGATGAAGATAGGAAAGGGAGGATGGGATTGGCTTAAGTATTTATGATCTGACACTTTTACTTCAATATTCATGTTTGGCAGCCGTACCGTGAAGCCCCTTAGTACCGTTCATATATGCTCATCTACAAAACCTGCATGTGGAACATGGGAAACGGTGGCCATGTTTCAGCAGCAGCAGCCTCAGCATCACCTTGTCTGTCTCTTTTGTTTCTTTGTTTCGTTGTTCATTCCACTGCTATGGGTGGAGCCCAGCACCTCACATGTGTTAGGGGAGCAGTCTACCACAGACGTCCCCATTTTGGCCAAGTCTCTTGGCTTCCTTGAGAAACCACACCGAGCGACCAACAGGTACCACCTAGGTGTGTGCCAGCACATTCTCTGACTCTCATTCATGAGCAGAAGCCCAGAGAACACGGTGTGAAGCACACAGCAGGGCAGGGGGCTGCGGGGGTAGACTGAGGGCACCACCTGGGTGTGAAGTAAGGCAGGAAACTGGCTTTGCTTCCACATGAGGGAAAGAAAGCTAAGTCTGCATGAACGCCGCCATGCCAGCAAACACCAGGAGTTCTACCTCACTGGATACTGGATACTGAGAACTCTGACGGGGCTTCACACAATCTCAGGTCATGGAGGCTTTAGAAAGACTCTCCTGAACCTTCTCCCGCAGCTCCACCTGGCTGTTTCTCCCATCCACTCCATCATGAGTGAAACCTTCCTTCACTGTGGACCGTGGGCTGTGGGGTTCACTTCCTGGGGTTCCCTCCAATCAGAAAGGGTCACCCCCTGGTGAGGGACCTGGGAAACGGTCACTCCCACCACTAGGATTTGAGCAGAGGTAGGGAGGTCGGGCCAGGCCTTCCCATAGGAAGAGGCCTGCCCAGCTGGAGGGTCCACCCTCAGCAGGACCACACAGTGGGGGCTCTCATAGGTAGGACGCTGTAGCCTTTCTAGGGTTAGAAAGAACCTATTTTCCTCTCTTCTTCTGGAATAGGAGTGGAAGCTATCCCACACAGGCAAAAAAGGAGAGAGGATTCATCCTATCCCCATTATGGCCAAGGAATCTTGACCAGTCCCTACCTCCCCCAACACCCAAGACAATATTCTAGACCTGGTCAGCACCGATGTTTACCAATCAGATACCAATGGGGAACCTTGAAGGGATAGTCAGATGTCCTCTGACAACAACAGGAGTTAGCATGCTCCAAGTAGCTGCGAGAATCTCAACATGTGGAACTACTCATAATGAAAAAACATTGTGTGGGGGGAGGGGAGGTTGGTTACCAAAATGATCTCAACACTCCTAAAATGTCACATCTTCTTTCTTAAAGAAGGCTGCTCAAGAGCCAGCCGCCCTACTCACCCACAAATGGAGAGCAGGCACACTTCTATGGAGTCCCGCTGGGCTTTGGTGAGGGAGCAGCCCTTGGACAGTCTATACACAGTGTGAAGAAGCGAGTCGATGAGGGAGGCATGGTGCTCCGTGCCCGCGAACAGAGGAGCACATCTGGTTAACAAAGGTAGGACAGCTGTGCAAAGGTACCTATTGAGGGCCAAGGCCATGTCTGTAGCACTCAGAGCGGCCTGCAAAGGAATCAAAATCAGCACAGACTCATTTGTGTTTGGCGGGAGACAGCTTGCCAAGGGCTCAACACATGGACGGGTCGTTTCCCTCTCTAGCAAATGATAACACCATGGAACAAGAGATGCCCTTCTCAAATATGTCTTTCAAGTGTAGTTTGAATGGCCTTTGCCACTAAAATCAATCAACTATCAATTGCTTGCAAGTAGCATCAAACACATGAATTGATAGCTGTCTTGGTCAAACAGTGCAAATGGTCCAGATCCTATCATAAACAATTATCCCTGTAGGATCCACGTAACAGGAAGATACACACAGTGTCCAGGATGGGAGCATTTGCACTGTTACTGGAGGAGAGAGGAAGACCTGACTCTCACTCCCATCACGGGTTCACAAATGCCTTCCGAACTGGATGTCTTCATTTCACTCCTATTTTAGCTCCTGTTCATCGGTGTCAAGCAAGCTTCAAGTCAGTTATATTAGTGTGGGCTTGCCATTTCCTGTGAAAGTAACACAATACAATATCCAGCTCATTTTCCTAACTCCTAAGTCATGGATATCATGAGAGGGCTATGGTCAACTCAAGATTGGATTTCCCCTGGGCTCAAAAGGGGCATTTAACTGATGAAACAAATAAGTACTATCGCTGCAAGAGCGTTTGGAACCTTGGCTATGTTTACATGGTAAGGGCACATCCAGAACGTAGGACACCCAGTACACAGGACAGATCCTGGACAAGCTGTACTTTAGCAGGCCAAGGATGACACCAATACCATAATTATTAGTTGTCTGAGCCAACAGTATCAATTAAATTGTCCTAAAACTCTGATTGATCCCATGGAGAAGCATGACTTTTTTGACTGAATACTCAGCACCAAAAAGACTAACAGGAGCCACGGTGAGCCCCAGATCAGGACCACCTCATGGAAACTCCTAGCACACCCGTGAGGTGTTCATTTCTTTCACTCTTCGGAGGATCCTGGTCTGTTTCCCGTTTACCCACCCCTGGCTTCAACTTAAGCTGAGGATGCAGTAAATATTTGTGAGTGAAGGCCCGCAGGTGCGGGATGACAAAGTGGGAGGCAGAGGCCACTCTCTGTCCAAACCATACCGTGTCTAGAGAGGCGGCGGCCCGGAGATCTGGCAGAAAGCCAACCTCAAGGAGGTGGAGGAGGAAGTCTTGCACCTCAATCCCATAGACCCTGTCAAGGAACAAAACCATGGCTGCCTTGTGATCTGGGCAAAACCCCGCGGACATGTCAGGTTCCACCACATTCCCATCTAAAAGAGAGAAGGTGACATGTTGGTGTCAATGGCCTGGCCGGGCCATCTGTGGCTTGATAACACACGGCTTCCTCCCAGCTGCCTCAAAGACATGCCTTCTTCTGCTAGTGCCCTCAAGCAAGAGGGCACATTTGCTGAGGGAATATGGCAGTGCCATTTAAATCCAAGGTCATCGAAATGTCCTTTGGCCATCTCTTCCCTGACTGCATGCTTGATCATGACATAGCATTTAGGCATCCTTCTGAGAAGGAAACATAGAAGCTTCGCATACACCTCAGAACACATGGAGTAAACATTAATAACGCTCCTTCACGCCCCCTCTCTAATGGCAATGTTGACATCTTGACACTGCCATCACTTAGAATAGTTACAAGCTTATAAATCAACACGGGTAAGACTAGTATGGCATTCATACTCAGTATGTGCAAGTAATTGTAACAGCATTTTAAACATCTCTGAGTTAGAACATTTTCTGCATCACCACTCAATTCTTAATGACTACACAGATCAGTGAATCCTTCATAAACTCCCCATGGGTTCCCAGTTTGGGGGTCACTGGAAAATGATGAGATGATGTGTCAGTTTAAAATACTGAGGACTGTCAGATGCCAGTGGCTCATGCCGGTAATCTCAGCTACTCAGGAGGCTGAGATCTGAGGATCTCAGTTCAAAGCCAGCCTAGCCAGGAAAATCTGTGAGGCTCTGATTTCCAAAAAATATAGCAAAAATCTGGATGTGGGGGTGTGGCATAAGTGGTAGAGCAAAGTCAAAAGATACCCATGATATCCAGAAGCCCTGAGTTCAAGCCCCAGTAGCAGCACACATAAAAAAAAATACCAAAGGCCTTATTTGTTTCCTATTTCAACCATACAGTAATTATGCCAAACCAGTGCTAAGAAAACATAGTAAGATTCTTTCTCTAAATGATGATAGGGGATTTTTTAAGTATTTAAGTACAGAGGCAATCTGAGGAAAGGAGGACTGAGGGAAAGCTAACACTTGGCCACAATCATCTCAAGGGAAGAAAGTAATAGCTTTTTTTTCCTTTGTATTCACTAAAGGTGCTACCCTATGAATGTTACATATGGCTGTGCACTGCCACACACATGATCTGTGCTGCTGAACACATCACTGCACACTCACATACATGATCATGCTCTCACACATGTGATCACATTTATACACTGATCCCACTATGTAACCCATGATTACACTGTGTTACACACATGCTCACACTGTGTTACACATGTGCTCACACTGTGTTACACACATGCTCACATGCCATTTCTACAATGCAAGTAGGTGGTGTTCATGAGCTGAGGATGAGAACTGACCTTGAAAGAAGCTAAGCAACTGTCCCATGGCTGTATACTAAGCAATTGGCAAAGCTGGATTTAAAGCAACTAAAACTGGGATTAAAATCCAACTGAACCCATTAAATGCACTAAACACCCTTGTCAAACGTCAAAAAAAAATCCAACTGTAGCTGATGTAACCTTTTGTTTACAACTGCATGCCCTAATTTTCAAATAAAATCAATACAAAATTCCACTGGGTTTCCCCTTAAAAGAAATCACATTACAGGGTACTTAAATTTATAAGGTCCTATTATTTGAACATGCACCTGTACCTAGAGGTAAAGATGAGCCACTCAATCAATGACCCAGATGGGAGCATTACTTCCAGTGCTCACAGATGTCTTCCTGGGGCTGAATCCCCGCTGGTTTGGAATGGTGGCTATTTGATTTGGACCCCCTCCTATGTACACTGGAGACCATGGCACTGAGGATCGCCTCCTTCCAGACTCAAAGAGCCTCTGCACTGCACTGAGTGAGGCCAGTGAACTGACCCCATGGCTACTGGGAGCATGCAGACTCTTCATTCGCCCCAACTGACAGCCCTGAGCAGTGAGCCAAGCTGCTGCCGGGCTGCAATGAGCTTACTGCTCACATCTGCTAACCCTCCCCTTTCATTAGTATTCCAGGACCCTAATTCTTGCAGAAATATAATAAAATAGTTGGGGAAGACTTTCCACACGACCAAGAGGAGAAGAATCTTAGAGGCGGTCTTCCTATACTCAATGTAGAGTGTGCAAGAACGAACAGCACGGTCACCTAGCAATGCTTCCAGGGCCAATTGGCTGAATGTAGAAATCAAGGGCATCCGTTGCTGCTTGAATGTTACAGGTGAATGTCTAGTAAGCCACAGTAAACTGAAACATAGGTTTCTCCCTGTATGTGCCACATAATGTCTAGTGAGCCACAGTAAACCAAAACACAGGTGTCTGCCTATATGTACCACATAAGAAAGCAATAAAAGAAATGTTGCAGCCACGGACCCATGATTGCTCATTTTAAAAATTAACTTGTACTGTGATTAGGGTGGCTTGAAAATGAGACAACCCTTCAAGTCTGGGTGCAAATCACATGCTATATGTGTATGGAGCACCGTACATCATCAGAGCACAACTAAGCAGAAGAAAGGAAAGAAAGTGAGCTGAAAATTCACATATATGTACATATATCATATATAATATATGTATATACATATGTACTATATAATATAATACTGTTATATATAGCATATATAGTATATATATGTATATTTGTATATATGTGTGTATGTATATATATACATATATATGTGTGTGTGTATATATATATATATATATATATATATACACACACACACATAAGTCCTAGTCCTAAGACTTGAACTTGGGGCCAGGGCACTCTTCCCTAGCTTTCTGCTCAAGGCTGGCATGCTACCATTGGATCCACAACTCCACTTCTGGCTTTTTCACTGGTTAACTGACTTTTCTTCCCAAGCTTGTTTTGAATCACAATCTTCAGATCTCAGCCTCCTAAGTAGCTAGGATTACAGGTGTGAGTCATCCATACCCAGCTTCCTGGTACTGTTCTTAAGTTTGTCCTCACAGTGTCCGTTTTGGGGTGCTCAAGTAGAGGAACAAAAGCTCTTTTCCATTCGGGAGTGAACGTGAGTTAGAAGGAAAGTGCAAAGGAGTCAGGCGAGCATGACCCAGGTAGGTCGGACCAAGTCATGGAACAGTTCTCAAGTTCCAGTGCTCCCTATAATGATCATACATTAACTTCATTTATGGTTGAATTACGATGCCAGTTTTTGTCCCCTTGTAGGTTTGGTGATAAGGTGAGCACACAGGAGGCTCACTTCCTCCACAATATGTGGCTACAAGCAGGAGGGCTACCTGTGGGTGCATGGTGATTGTTCAGTCTTGAGCTATTCACAGCTCACATTTTCTGTGCAAATGAAGTATAAAAAGTATAGAGAGCATGTGCTTTCTATATAATACAGTTCTGTTCTAAAATGAGAACCCTAGGTAATATTTGGTTTATACATAAATACCCAATGAAGCACTGAAAACTAAGCAACACAGAGACTGAAAAGAAGCAAAAGCCTATTTTGTGGACCTATTCATCTTTTAGTTGTCACTAATGAATCACTTAACCTTTTAAACATGTTCTTCGTCTTGAGAAGTGCTTTTCTTTTAGTGCACAGAGAATATCTAATTCCCAAAGTCAATAGTTAATGGCTCTTTCTTTTACAAGAAAAATGTTTAAAAAAAGGGGGGGGCTGGGAAGGTGGTTCAGTGGTAGAGTGCTTGCCTTGCATGCCTGAGGCCCTGGGTTCGATTCCTCAGCACCACATAAGCAAAAAGAAAAAAGCCAGAAGTGGCGCTGTGGCTCAAGTGGTAGAGTGCTAGCCTTGAACTGAAGAGCTGAGGGACAGCGCCCAGGCTCAGAGTTCAAGCCCCACGACCGGATCCAAAAAAAAAAAAAGTTAAAAAAAAACTATGAAAAAAAAAAACAAGAAAAACTGAAAACTATGACACAGTTTGAAGTACTGGAGTGAGTTCTAGAAAGACCAACAAGGGGGAGTCCCAGGACTGGAACAGAGACAGGAGATGAGAGAGACAGAGGCTGTTTACACTTGGGTAAAGGAATGAAAATCCCATCGAAAAGACAGTTGTTTGAAGACAATGAGACAGAAAGCAGGTAATGCTGCAATAAAACACTTCCTGATTTTTTTTCAATTATTTAAAGGAAGCTAAATGGTGGGACCAAGCTGTGAGGGTCAGAAGAGATTTCGAAGTATCCTGAATCTTACTGAAAACACGGGCGAGAGAGCCGGCCTTACCTTTGGCGATGGTTGGCATCTGAAAAGCGATGCTAATCACACCCACCAGGTCTCCCAGTGGAATGAGAGATCTCAAAATAGACCTGATTCTGATGGCCTCTCCCTTTCCAGCATGAATCAACTACACGGGAAAAAAGGGTGATGATTAGAATACGTTTGTGGAATCAGGATTAGAAACTTGCCTAGAAAAACCTGAATTGGGAGGATTTCATGTCCAAAACAACTTTCTGCCTGGTATAAATACAAATTGGACCACTTTCTCAGACTCTTGTCTCAGATGTGGAAATAAGACAATCACTTGCCCATAGATTTCAACATACAACAAATGATAGGCTATGGTCTAGGTCAGCTGATTCACCTCTAAGAGCCATTGTTTTGTTTTGTTTTTAATGGTCTTTGGGATCTTTAAACTGAGGGTATGGTAAGCCTGTGAATGTTTATACACTCCCCTCCAAATACTGAGAACAAGAGCAAGATCACGAAAGAACAGCTATTCTCTTCAGTAACTAAAAGTGCACTAGAGTTTATGATTTAGCCTGCTTCTTGCCTGGTGATAAGCAGTGCATGTTTCTTCAAGTTCTACCCACTGCCACTGAAGCTGGGCGGACAATGGAGGGAAAGGGTAAACGTGAATCTCCACGGTTCCTTTAGCCTGCCACTGACTGACTGATGGAGCTCTTCTTATAATGAGACTGGGCCAAGGAAAGATAGCAGCGAGCCCCAAATTCTACTAGTCTCCCAGAGCCAGTTCAGATATCTGTTCTTGCACCATTGAGAAAGAAACTCCAGTATGATTTCTGGCCCCTAGAGAGCCTCCACTCACAGGGGCAAACATGGACTGATTCCAGAAATACCAGGCTCAGGTCTTCATGAGCACCCTAGTGTTTCCCCAACCTTAATCTAGATGTGCTAACAGAACAAAAAGCTTTCTACCATTCCTTCCTTAGTTTCCCTGATCTCTTCACCCAGATTGGAGGGAAGCATATATTTTCTCTCTGATCCCCTCCAGGGCACAAATCTCCCATACTCTTGTTCTGTTTACTAGAAATCAGTTCCTGCAACACCAAGAAATATGTTTTCACACACACACACAAATGTTAAGTTTTTAGACATGTTAACATCTATCTTGTGATTTCTCTTTGCACATAGCAGAAGAATACAGTAAGTCAACTTTAACCCTTGGGTAAGAAAGATAAATTTTAATCTCTGAGTGTAAAAGAGAGGCAAAAACTAAAATCCTACCAAACCCAACCAAAATAAACTCGGATACCAGCGGTAGAGAAAGGAGTATGTGTGCAGAAATAAATTGGTCTGGGTTTTTGCTTATCCCTGTTTGAAAGTTCATTTGCAATTCTTAACCCTTCAACTCCACCACTGGTCAACATGCTTCAAACTCTATCCTTTCTCCATCACAGGTCATGAAAATTGTTTTGTACCAGCTGGCTAGTATTTCTTAAACACGTGAATTGGAATTAAATAGAATCACTGGGAATAGAACAAAGCAGAGGGTAACAAAGTATTCTCTTAATGACTCATGCTGAAATCTCATCACTAACTTTAACAACCAACCAGACATCACCAACTGAACAAACTCGTGTTACACAGAGGCAGAAGCTCTTATTATTAATGGAGCATGAATGTGGCTCTGCCTTATCAGAGACAGACAGGCCTGCTCTGCGGGCCTCAGGGCACTCACGTGCATCTCAGGGGCGCAGCGACCTAAGAGGTCAATCAGGGCCGCATAGAAGGTCATGATTGCGTTCCCCATATGGATGGTGTCATCTTCCTCCTCTTCTGTGTCTCTTTTTTTGTGGATTTTTTTTCCAAAAGAAACAGAAAGCAAATGGGTCAGCTGACATTTCATGCTCATTAAGCAACTCTCAGAAGACCAGGCACCAGCTAGTGTGGCGTCAGCCTGGTTACTCTGAGCTCTCTGCGTGTTTTCAACTAAGAGAAGCGAAGGGCACCCTGATTCTTCTCTGGCCATCTGATAACAAATAGAAGCTGTGATTCTCACTCTGGGGCAACCTCAGGGTGGAAACCTGGACGCATGTCCAGTCTCTAAATGGGAGCATAAAGGCCTGCAGGATTCTGTATAGGCTACTGTGTTTGCTCGAAAATTCTCTCCCCCCCCCCATGGCGATCGATTTCAGTCTTTACCAGTGGTACTAGCAGTGCCGTGCCAGGCAGGTGCACGGGCCATGAGGCGTGCATTCGCCTCTGCAGAGAAAAGCCGTGGCGGCACAGGTGCCTTGCACACCTGGGTTCACTTGGACCCATGCTGTGACACCTTTTAACAACTCGACTGTGGAGAATGGAGGAGAGTAGCTGCTGTCCCAGAGTCCCCAGCACCGTAATCCAGAGCTCTACTCCTCAGGGGGAAAGCTGCTGCTCTGGATTTCACTACTGAACCCATCTGGTACATTCCCTGTCCTCTTAAGATCATCTATCTGTCTGTCTATCTACATATATTATATGTGTATATATATACACATATATGAATATATTTAGTATATGTATATATACACATACTATATGTACATTTATGTACAGTATATTAGTATATTTATGTGTATGTGTATATATATATATGTGTGTGTGTGTATATGTATATATATACACACGTATCAACATTTTAAGAACTACCTTCCCATTGGGCCCAAGTCCAAAGGCTCACCCTGCTTTGCCTAACTCCCCCTAGGAGTATCCACAAAATGCACCTCCTCCTTTAACCTAGAATTCTCTCTACTAAATCCACACCACACCCTCCAGCTTACTATCTGTTCATTCAACTACCCATCCTTCCACATCTAAGACACAATGCTCTGGCCAAGGATTGAGACCTTCGGTGTCAGACGCCATATTGCAGTGAAGACAATTTCAGATCTACTTTATGAACGTCAGCCACCCAGCATGAGGGACAAGTGAGGGCAGGAACACTGGACCTACAGTGTCCGGCTGGAGCCACTTGTAGGCGAGGGGCCATCGCGGGAAGGGTCCTCAGCTATTTTTATGGCTTCTTCCATGGCAGCAAGGAGTCCATTCCCACCTTCCCCTCTCAACGCAGGCCCAAAGCACTCGGGCCTCCGGATGAGCAATCTCACCACGACATTTGCGTTTTCTTCCACACTCTCCCCTGCAGTCAAAAGAGGAACATATGTAAATATGATCATGCCAGGTTTCTGAGCACATGAAGGCTGTAATGATAATCTCATTTGGTGAAACAAGTAAAACTCAAGAACCTATTCTTGAGGGTTGGGAAGGTGGCTCCGTGGTAGAGTGCTTGCCTCGCATGCATGAGGTCCTGGGTTCGATTCTCAGCACCAAATAAGCAGAAAAAGCCAGAAGTGGTGCTGTGGCTCAAGTAGTAGAGTACTAGCCTTGAGCTGAAGAGCTGAGGGACAGTCCCAAGGCCTAAAGTTCAAGCCCCACACTGACAAAAACAAAAATTCAACCCAAATTTTACTAGTTTTATACTAGCCTAGTATATTTCTTTCATTTCATATCTTCAAAGTGAAGAAAAATATTATTAATTCCCATTAACTTAGGATGGGAAAAGACATCATAATCCGAATCACAATAATCCGGTTACAAAAAAAACCTGGGGATTTTAAGTTAAATAATGAAAATACTACCCATGTGAATATTTATAATAAACTAGGGCTATAAACAAAGCCTGATTACAAAATATACAGTTCTTTAACTGGTATTTGGTCCCTTGACGAGGAACGCTGACTGGACCTTATTTGCATGCAGTCTTTATCAATGAACAGGCAAAAGCTTCACACAGGCAAGTCCTACCATTGCAGAAGACAGCAAATCGGAGGAAATCAAGGTATCGCTCTCCCTCTACAGGATTCCAGCCAATGTCCGGGTAACCCTTTGACACCAGCATCTGGCAGCTCTGCAGCCCACAGCCGGCCAGGTAACGCACAACCTACACACAGAAGAGTAGGCCAAGAGGTGCCCTTCAGATACTGCAGGGGAGGACAGAAACAGCACTTGGATGGGGCATGCCTGGTACATTACAGTTATAGGAGACCCATGTGACAGGGGCAAAGAGAGAAGAAGGAAGAGTGGGAGGACACAAACTCAAAGCAAGATGAGAGAGGGCATGGGAACTATTGGAATGCATTTACTTGGAGTGACAGAAAATCTTCCTTCAGATGTGATCCTTTTAAGAGAATGGCTCTATCACCAAAGTCAAAAACAGGTGCTGGGGGTTTAGCTCAGCGGGAGAACGCCTGCCTGGAGAGCGCAAGGCCCTGAGTTCAGTCCTGAGCTCTGGGGAAAAGAAAAAAAAAAAGACCCTAGGGGACCAAAGGAAGGAATGGTAATGACTTGGAATGCTGCTACAGCTACATTACAAAGCAAACCCTCTGTAATGTCGGCTCACAAACAAGAGGCTCCTTATGTACAAAGGGCTATGGCTTCACACATCAGATCACTAACACCTTGCCGTTGAAGAGATGAGCTGGGTTCCTAGGTGTGCAGAAGGCTGAGGTCTGAGGATCACAGTCCAAAGCCAGCCCAGACAGGAAAAGCTTGTGAGACAGTTACCTCCAATTAACCACAAAAAGCTAGACGTGGAGCTAGTGAATAAGTAGTAGAGCACCAGCCTTAAGTAAAGAAATTAAGGAAAACCACCTAAACCCCAATACCAGCACAAAATTAAATATATATATATATATATATATGGAACATTAAAGCAAAAATCATATATATACATATATATGGGACAGTAAAACAACTCTTAAAGAAGTGGGGGGCTGGGAAGGTAGCTCAGTGGTAGAGCGCATGCCTTGCATGCCTGAGGCCCTGGGTTCGATTCCTCAGCACCACATAAGCAAAAAGAAAAAAGCCGGGAAAAAAAGCCAGAAGTGGCGCTGCAGCTCAAGTGGTAGAGCGCTCGCCTTGAGCTGAAGAGCTAAGGGACAGCGCCCAGGCCCAGAGTTCAGGCCCATGACCGGACCCAAAAAAAAAAAAAAGAAGTGGAAATGGTACAGTTAAAGCAAAATTGACAAATGTCACAAAGACAAAAACATGGATCCAGTGAGTTGATTCCAACTATACACAATCCAGTTATTCTAAAAATCTGTGAAGAACCAGTGTACCTAGGCTTCAAAAGACATATGTGATGGTGGAACCAGGAAGGAAACCTGAGGGATTAGGACAGATTGGGAGAAAGGGATGGAAGAGATGACGTGGATCGAGATGCGTTGTGCTCACAAACTGACATGTTGAATTGAAACCCCTTTGTACCTCTACTTAAAGGTACTTTGTTTTGAAAAAGAAAATGCTTGTAATCAGAGGAGGTACCTTCTTCACATTGAACTATAATATACAGAGAATTACAGACAGCATAATACATACTACATAATTACAGGAATGTATTTTATTTTAATAGATCTACAGCAAAACTGCAGCAATTGAAATCACTGAGAGAGCAGTACACGAAGTGCACACAGTCACAGAGCCAGAAGGCCTGCCTTACCTTCTCTAGATCTGGCTCCCGCAAGGCTAGGGCAAGTTCGTTATTATCCATCACTGATGCTGCAGCCACGTCGAGCGGGGTGGAGCCTCTCATGGCGGGGGAGGCTAATTCAAGCAAAGGCAAAGACACACCCAGGTTGTGCTGTAACTGTAAGTCCCCCACAAAAACACACCACCGTTTGCATTTTATGTTCCAAATGACGTACACACAGCCCTGGACTAAATCCATTTCACTTTGTCTAAAGATACTTTTGACGAATAAAAAGTGTATATCAGGAAGTGGCGCTGTGGCTCAAGTGGTAAAGCACTAGCCTTGAGCTGAAGAGCTGAGGGACAGTGCCCAGGCTGAGTTCAGGCCCCATGACCAACAACAACAAAAAAAAGTGTATACCATTATTGTGTACATTTTAAAATATGTAGACGATGTGGAATAATGCAATTGGTTTAATTATCAACACTTTAGATAATCGCTTTAGATATGTAATTGTTCCTTAAAACCTATTCTCTTAGTGATTTAAAAAAAATACATTGCTATTTCTGGACACTGGTAGCTCACCCCTGTAATCTGAGCTACTGAAGAGGCTGAAATGTAAGGATTTTGATGGGGATTATATTGAATCTCTAGCTTGCTTTTGGCAGTATGGCCATTTTCATGATACTAAATTTGCCAATCCTTGAGAATGGGAGCCTTTCTACTTTCTGGTGTCTTCTTTAATGTCTTTCCTCAAGGTTTTATAGCTTTTATTATAGAGGTGGTTTGCCTACTTAGTTATGTGTATTCCTGGGTTTCTGGAGGCTATAGTGAATGAAATCAGTCTTCTAATTTCTTTCTCAGCCTGTTCACTGTTGATTTACAGAAAAAGCTACTGGTTTTTATACATTGAGTTTTGTATCCTACTACACTGCCCAACATGTTCATCAGATCCAGGAGTTTGGGACTATAATCTTTGAGGTCTTTTAAGTATAGTATCATTTCATCTGCAAATCAGGATTTTACTTCTCTCTTTCCTATTTGGGTCCCTCTTCTTCCTTCTCTTACATGATTGCTTCGGAACCATGTAGTTGTAATTACTGCCTAGGAATGTCAGTTCCATACTGAGTAGACAGTGCAGACACCCTTGCCTAGTGACTCACTGTCAAGGAAAATCAGTTCTCCTGTCTACTATGGTGTTGGCTGTGGGTATGTTATAGATGGCCTTTGCTTGTTGAGGTGCATTCCTTCCATTCCTACTGTGTTCACTTAACATGAGGCTCAACTTTACATGTAATATGCACATTACTTTTTACCTAAAAAGATCAAGTTCAAGCCATCCACTTACTTACCAAGACCAACACTGCTGTTTTCCAGTAAGTAACTGAGATGATCAAACATAGCTTTTTGATTCTGTCTACTTATACGACAGAAGTAACAGAGAAAACGGCAACAATTGGCCACCATCTTGGGAAAGGTGATCTCCTAAATGAAGAGCACTTGATTAGCTGTTGAAACAAATGATCTTCCTGACACTGAATAGGGGAGGTCAAGTCTCAGTGACATTGTCAGCCCAGAGTCAGCAAATCTAGGTGCCATATGGATTCACCTAGACCTTGAGCCACTGGAAATCCAGCCAGAGCCCCACTCAGAAACCCCACTACCACCAAGAAGCTGGGATTGAGAGGTAAACAACAGCCAGAAACTCCAAGGTACAATGAGCCTGGCTTAGGAATCAGGTAGCCTCAGCTACAGATTATAACTATTAGCTGTGCTTTCCTGGGAAATTACACAGTGTCTTTGACTCAGGTCTGGAGAACTGAGATCATATGAATAATACCACATAAATTAAGAAAGGGAGAGGAGGGGCCAAGACAACTTCAGGAAAGCACAGTTCAATACTTGGTGTCGTTACCCAAATGGTTTGCAAGCTCCCTAATTTGTGTAGGTCTTTCTTCCTGAGCCCCTGACAGGAAGGCCTGCCTGCAAAGCCATCCCACTTCAACCACATACCTCTCCCTAAACAGAGTGCATTGTGAATTTTTAAAACAAAACTATGTATATTTTATATGCATTGTTTTATATTAACTTTTTTAATTCACGTGTTTCATTTATGTACAATATATAGTTAAACTTAGAGACAGAACACTCAAAGGGACTATAGATTTATTTCCATATTGTGAAAATATTAAAATTTTAAATCCAGAAGTACATTTTGTATCTCAGAGATTATAGAATTACACTAATTTATCTGAATTACTTACTATGTTGCACCACCTGTTTGAATTTCACTGCAGATTTTGTCAGTTGTGGGGCTTGAACTCAGAGCCTGGGTGCTGTCCCTGAGCTCTTTCACTCAAGGCTAGCACTCTACCACTTTGAGCTATAGCTCCACTAACACCTATTTGATTTTCAAGGATTTTTTTTAAATTGCAATTACATAAAAGTTCTTTTGAAGCCAGGCAACCAGTGGTTCAATGCCTGTAATCCTAGCTACTTAGGAGGCTGAGATCTGAGGATTGCAGTTTGAAGCCAACACAGGAGGGAAAGTCTGTGAGGCTTATTTCTAATTAATCATGCAAAAAGCTGTAAGTGGAGCTGTGGCTCAAATGGAAAGCACTAACCTTAAGCAAAAAAGCTCAAGGACAGTACCCAGGCTCTGAATTCAAACCTCAGAATCAGCACATGCAAAGAAAGAAAGGAAAGAAGGAAGGAAGGAAGGAAGGAAGGAAGGAAGGAAGGAAGGAAGGAAGGAAGGAAGGAAGGAAGAGAGAGAGAG